CTTGGCTTTGCCCCTTGGCATTGCTGAAGTCCATGGGCGACGGTAATCACTCACCATCAGATGGGTCGTATGCTCCTTTGCCTAAAAGGACAATAAAAAAAGAAAAAAAAAGTATTAGTACCTAGTACCTATTAATATTAGCCTAGTACTGACTAGTCCGTACCCCTATTATTGGAGCTAGGTGGTTCGTGTCCTTTCACAATCCTAATACAGTTCAAGGTCGACGTGTGAATAGCGCAGATATTTCACCCGATAATAAGTTCCTTTCGGAGTTTCGGAGGCGTAATACGAAAAGTTCTTTTAGGTACGAAGTCCGCAATTCTAGAATTTAGGGTAAAAGTTATAATCTGTATTGTAACATTTGGAGTTCAACTGGATTTTTACAAATTTTAACACAATTTAACAATGAATTCCTACTTAGACTTAAAATAGAACACAAATATAAAATTATATTATAAAAAAAAAAGAACACAATATTCCTAACCTAAAAGTACATGTTATTATCCGCAACATGCTTCGTCAGATTACAGAAATATCAGCAACATGCTTCGTCAAAAATTACAATACTTACTTACTTTCAGCTACATATTTATATTTAATAATTTAATCTGATTAATGGTAAAAGATTATCAGTTTTAATATCTATTCTATTTCAGTCATAATATTGTATTCGTAATTATAACCTTATTAATATACCTAATGAGCACTTTTATGATACGATACCCATCGGAATCAGTTTCATTCTTAATAATCATTGTTATTCTTTATATCGATTAAAATTCTAGATGTCGCCGTTGTATTTGGAACGTGTGTTTGTTTGTAGGTTTGTTTGTCATCTGTTATTGAACCAAATAAGCGAACAAAAATACTCGGTATGCAATGGTTCCAACGTAGTACCTATCGTCTCTGGGAAGAACCGATTAAATAAATAATGGCTTAAATTTTAAGTCACTTTATGTTTTAAATATGTGTCAGTTAAAATCCACAAAATCAGAGATAAGTTCCATTTAGTTGAATTGGTTTCGTAAACTTCAAAATATATGAGAAAATTTCTTACTATTCACTATTTACAAAGTCACGTGGTATTCATTCTTCTTCTTCGTCGCTTTCTTCATTGCTGAAGGTCGTGTCCCTGAAACTCGACCGTTGCCAGTCTCGTGAGCTGTTTCCATCTCGTCCGGTCCTCAGCTGCTCGAATGGCGGTTGCGACTGGCAACCCAGTTAGAGCGGTTACTTGATCACACCAACGGCTAGGTAATCGGCCGCGGGGTCTCTTTCCTTCTACTTTGCCCGTCACAATCACTGGATCAGCTTCGCATCCGAGTCAGGCTCTCAACAATCTGTTACCAGAGGATCCTCAGCTACTTCGGTCATATTGCCCGCCGACAGTCAGATAACTTGGTATTCATTAAAACAACGTTAAACATACGGAACCGTCTCACCGAATTTGCGTCAGCCTTAACCGAACCAAATTCTTGACTTGTTGCGTTCTCTGCACATATTTTTAACCCCAATTTTCTCGTGGAATTACTTCGCCACAAATTTGCCTTCTTTTATTATTTATTAATAAAACACAAGATGAGTTTCGTCGAAATAGGATTTTTCCCTCCGTACATTCTTTGCGGTACACTCGTAGGTATTCGGGAACTTTTTAGCATAAGCTTTCACTGTTGAACTTTTTGTATACATATTTAATTTGAAAACTGGTTCATTTCGTGTTAGTGTTACGGCTTTTTGGAGTCTCCGTCTTCCTTGAATATTTCATAGGGATAAACAGACAGACGAAGCGTTCGTTTTATTAATACTGTTTTAGGAGTGAAAAAGCTCAGACTCAATTTTATATTAAACTAGCCGTACTCGCCCCTTTCTCTGGGCATTTAAAATTAACATTATTATTTATTTTCATTATTATTGAAGTCCAACACTCATATAAATAATTAGCCTATCCGTTAAGTACATGTATACCAGGTTTCAAGTCAATCGGATGCATGGTTCAATAGTTATAACGGAACATCCATAAAAACCACTGTAGATTTATATATTAGTATAGATAATTACAGGACTGTATCCTGTAGGAATAGGCAGCACAGCGGTACTTGCTTTGTGTCCCAAGGGGACATTTTTATGGTACTTCATACAATTTTATGTTTATGAGTCGAAGCGATCTTACTGTATCGTCAATATTTCTGGCATTAGTGATATGTTCGTTTAGTTTAGCTACTGGAAAGATGAACAGGCACACGTCCCATCTGATGCCAAGTGGTTAAAGGAATTCATATGCATTGCAAACCTGAATGCCACAATCTACCTCGATAAATGTGGTCTAAGTCTCAGTTATATGGTATATTGGCTGTCTAACCGACTACTCCGAAGCGGAAGTGGCCAGGGTGGTGGTACCTATCGTGGTCAGCTCACACTACACCCTATCACAAGTATATGAGATGTACACTGCCACTTACCAGCGCATAGTTTCAGTTAGGATATAAGCAAAAATAAAATTTTCGCAAATGCTAATTTCGGCTTCGCAAATTTACATTATTCGCGTTATATTCGCGAAAAGCTTGTTCGCGTGTGAGCCTTTTATTTTCCACCGGAGAGAAACGTGTCAAGGCATCTCCTGCATGAGTAGTCAAGATTTTGTTCTCGCTCTTACAAGGGAGGTCGAACTGTATTTTATTTACTAGTCTAGATTGGAAAACGATTTCACTTTCCTCGTGCAAGTAAGAACCAGAGACCATAGGCATCCAAAAGTCAATGCCACCACCCACCTTAAGAAGTTGAAGTCTACATTTTATTGAATAACTAAACGTCTACTCTTCATCAAACTGGAATGAATAACTGCTTTGAAACTGAAATAGGCTGGATAGCGGTACCTATCCGGACGGGTCCACAACACGCTGTACCACCGATAATTACGAAAATCTATTTCAAATCAAAAATCAAAGTTAGTCCGCACGGCTAGGTACCACCTCCTTGCCTATTTCTGCCATGAAAGCAGTCATGCGTTTCCCTCACTCATGTCTCAAGGTGAGTGGTGGCATTTACGTTGTCAGTGTCTATGGGCGACGGCGACCAGGTGGGCCGTGACCTCACCAACGTGACAATAAAAAACAATCAATAAATAAAAACACAGGTATGATGACGCTTTTTCTGAGTTACGCTCGAGTTGACAGTCGAGCGAATATTAATCATTGTAAAAATCTTTTTATCTCCGAATACTGTACTATGAATAAGCCATGGCTGCTCCGTGATTTGTGTGCCGATTACGTAAAAGTGACTTTCCACTTAGAGCTGAGAGGGCATTGAGCGAAATTATATATTTTCTCCCTTATTACTTCTGTCTTCGCAACTGAAATACTTAGCACAGTCCGTGACTTCAATCCTGTTAATATCGTAAAATTTTCGTTAAAGTAAACATTTTTTTATGTCAACAAATATACATATATGTATAGGCTGTATTATACAGAAAGATGTATGTACAATAAAGAATGCTCTCTTATGGCACCTTGCTGACAACGTATTGTTATTGTTAATGACAGTTGACGATTGCGTTTGAGCCGATCGCAAGAACGTCACTACACTAAGAGTGTCAGTTTTACTGCCGTCAAACACAAATTAACTACATGATTCCCTACCTATTCACTGGTAGCCTAAGGGGCTATTCTAGCTACGTACGGACGGGTAGGTGACCTCACGGGCTCAACCTGAGAGAATTTGCTAACACTAACCCTAGCAAAGGCAGTGCTTCGCAGAGTCTACCACAGGATCGGAAACGCGACCCACTGAAAAGATCCGGCGAGAAACTGGTGGTACTGGTAGTAGGACCTCTTGTGAATCCGCGCGGATCGGTACCACCACCCTGCCTATTTCTGCCGTGAAACAGTAATGCGTTTCGATTTGAAGGGTGGGGCAGCCGTTGTAACTATACTTGAGACCTTAGAACTTATATCTTAAGTTTGGTGGCGCATTTACGTTGCAGATGTCTATGGGCTCCAGTAACTATTTCACACCAGCTCGTCCACGTATCTAAGCAATAAAAAAAGAATTGCCAATGAATAGTGCCGCTATAGGAGACGCTGAAATTCAATTCATTATTACTGCCGAGCTAGGCAGCTGCCCCTCGCTCACTCATTTTAAGCCTCACTAAAATTAAAACTCCTAATATTCAACACCCGATGTTTTTAGATTAACTATTATAAATATCAACAGTTATTATAAAGAATACAGATTTTTTTTATTAACAGAATTCGTCGCACGTTTTTGTAACATACAGAAAACTCTCTTAACCTTATGTGTTAACAGATCACATAATGTTTCTGAAACAATAACAAGATACCCAAAGCGGGTATTTCGTACAATTGTTTATCCAATTACGATAAAGTCTAGATTTAAGTGATTTTTGAACATACGCATGAGTGCCAGGTGTCTTTGTCCTCAAAAGGGCATCGGCTTTATATTTGGACATTTTTATCTTAACATAAACTGAACCTATAGGCACAAACAAAAAAAAAAAGATATGTGGGGTCGTGGGACACCGGATAGGAACGAATTTCCTTATTATAAAAATATCAATTTTAAGTTCTATTCGAGGTATAAAGAAAATAAAACTGGAGGTTTCGCAACAGCCCACGGTCTTTTGGTAACGTGCGAACTTATTGTAGTACACCTCATTCGCGGTTGTTTGCATAAGAGTTAGTGTATTGCGCAAACGAACGCTCTGACATCGTGGTCAATGAATGATAAAAAAATATGGTATTTTTTGTACGTTATTACAAAGTTAAGTCGTACACTAAGTCAATACACTAAGTCGCATTACTAATTTGTATGTTATTACAAAGTTAAGTCGTACACTTTGTGCATTACTGAAAAAAATCTTACGTTACGGACGTTTTTTCCCGGGTTTTTAGGGTACCCCTCCGCATCGTCCCATAAGGAACTTCGCTCCAAAAACTTTAAAGTATAAATGAACTGGCAATTTTAATTGGGTTATTCTGTTTCAGTACGACCAGCATTCGAGGAGCCCCAAGATATCCGACGTCTTAACAGGAGAGGGTCCCCACTTCCACGCAACCATAGCCGGTCAGCTCTACTCTCCCGGTTCTCCGTATGAACACAAGGTGATTGAACACAAAACATATATTTATAACGTACTAGCTGACCCGGCAGACTTCGTAGTGCCTCAATCGATAAATAAAAGACCTAAACTTTTGTATAAAATATAAATTTAAAACAAAACAAAAGGAATCCGACCGACGGGGGACACATCAGAGGGAAAACAAAATTGTTATTTTTATTTAATTCCGAGCATTTTCATATTTATCTACCTTTTAAACCTTCTCTGGACTTCCACAAATAATTCAAGACCAAAATTAGCCAAATTGGTCCAGCCGCTCTCGAGTTTTAGCGAGACTAACGAACAGCAATTCATTTTTATATATATAAGATAAGATAGATAGATAATTACCATTGGGAGAGCCTATTGGAAGACCTAATGGTTAGGTACCACGACCCTGCCCATTTCTGCAGCGAAGCAATTTGATACTTCGATATAAGTAGGCAGCATTCTCGTTGTGATGTCTCTAATAACCAGGGGCTCTAATAAGCAGTTTCAATCATATGGGTTGTGAGTTCATCAACTTATAAATGGAATAAAAGGCATAAAAAGGCAATATACTCGTGCAAGCATTGAGGTACGGACCCAGTCTCGATCTTACGATCTCCGGTAGCACAAGCCGTACAAATACCAGACTTAAAATAATGATATATATCTATATCGAAAACCCTGGTTTACTTTCTCAGGATATTAAGCCAAAGTTAATAAAAATATACTGATACCCAGTTGATAGGACATTATCTACAAGTATGTGAAAATGACGTTGAAAGATTTTGTCACAGTCCAAGCTACAAAAACCGTTGTATTACCTATTATCATTTGTACCATCATCCCTGGCTTTAAATTGTAAAGCTTTCTGAAGATTATCGTTACTAATGCTTCAGATCTCTATAAGTCAAATTATGTATCTGATAAATAGCCGGTTGCCACATTAAAAGCAACAATAATTCTACAACTGCAATCGACAACGCAAATCTGATAAACAAGCTTCTAATAATAAGCTCAATACTACAATTACACTAAACAGATGACACCCAGTGTCCAATTAAAAGTTTTGCAACCGATAACAAGTGTCCCAAAAGTTTTTGTTCTGTAAATGGCTTGTTTGGGGTCGATCACGTCTCATTGGGCATGAAATAACCCTTAGCGTTTATTGATGGAGACGCTAATTACCATTATTTGAGCGTACTTCATTAAAACTTTTTGAAACGATTGTGTTGTTTCGCTGAATTAAATATTTGCTGACAGTTTTGAATCCAGCGAATGTAGAACGTAATTGAATTCAGTAGATCTTATTACTGCTTGTAATTTAATAATAAATCATTTATCTTATCTCTTTCTAGTATTCTGAAGAATCGCAATCTTCTAACGGCCAACGCGAAAGCGAACAAGAAACTGAAGAAGAGGAACGTAGACCAGCACCAAAGAAGAAGGCCAAGAAGCAAAAGAGCAAGTCGAAACACTCCAGTCACAACAGCCACGAAAGAGACAACGAAAAAGATCACGACGAAGATTATGACCACCAGGAATACATCTACCCATCATACGGAGGCCTCCACCACAATCTATTCGGACACCAACAACTGTACCCTGGCCTTGGCTACGGTCTGGACCCCAGAATCTTCTATGGAAAGCATCTTCTCAACCCTTACTTGTACCCCAATGCCTTTGGTCGCCCGTTCATCAGACCGGTCTTGGGAGCTATTCCCCCTCACCCATTGACTTCGCCGCACCTTTCGCAACTAGCTCTCAGAAACCCTCTGCACCCACTTGCCCATTCTCAATTCCTTTTGAACCAGGGTCTAACCCATCCTTTACAATACGTAGAACAGCAAGGCTACGAACAAGCCATCCCTGGTGTGTCATACGCACAGAATGCTCAAGAAGTGAACGCCCAGGGCGCGGCCGCTAATGCGCAACAGCAACTTGAACAGCAACAGATTGCCGCTGGTCAGCAACAAATCGCTTTAAACCAGCAACAAATCGGTCTTGCGCAACAACAAGCCCAAGTTCAGGTTCCTCAACAGGTACATTTAAACAATTTGTATGCAAATAACTGACCAATCAGCTGAACTAAGCTTAGCTAATAGATATGGATATGGTGTTAATTCGTTCAACGCACTGCCCGGTCTTATGCATCATTACTAAATCTACGTTTTACAAAGGAAAAACAAAATGAAATTATTCAGTCTGTCACTACTTCGGATCACTTCACGAGGAACTAGTACCATATCCCGGCTCTTTTAAGAAGATCGACTGGTTCTGGCGCACAGTTTCAACTATCCAAAGATTCTGCACATAGCCAAAAATGCGTCAATAACATTTTGGCTTTGAATTTACAGAACTACAACGCTCAAGCTACACAACCAGGAGCTGTCAGCTACGCCACCTACACTCAGAACGTCCCCTCCCCTTTCATCCAAGTTTACGGAACTCCTCAAGAGCCACAACCACAACTAGAACTTCAAGCCATACCTAACGTACAGCTGCAAGAGCTGCCGTCGCTCAGACCGTTACCCAACTTCCAGAACCAGATAATTCAATCTGAAGTGCGTCCAATTCGGCTAACTCAAGGCCTGCCTGCCCAACAACAATCATTACCTCTCGTGCGCATCCCCCAAGAACCTCGCAACGAACAACGTCAACAACTGTTTAGCGCACAATCAACGTCTCCGAGTCTGTTGAGCGACGTGAACCTTGAAGCCCAATCTTCGAGTCCTGCTCCCACAATTCAGACCAGCCAATCTTCTCAATCAGTCACCATCGAACCTTTGGAACAGGAATCTCAGTCTACTCCAGCACCCCAGGTCACTGAGCAGACACCCAGGCCTGAGCCTTCAAGTACCCCAGCACCGGAGAGCGAGGGGAATTTTATTAATGTACCGGATCAATCTGAGGCTTTTAACCCAGAACTGATCATTCAGCAGCCAGGACTGACTGCACCTAGCGTTCAATATTTTGGAAACTATGCCGAGTCCCTGTTCAACCCTTAAAGGGACCTGTAGCTGAGCCTTTAGCAGAGACTTGAAGTAAATGTAAATAATGTAATGTAAATTCTAATTCGAACTTCTTCCAAATAATATGTGGAGGCTTACCTTCGAGCTCAGCTGTGCTTTGAACAAAGATCTGTTAATAATTTTATTGTAAATATTTTAATTAGGTTTAATCCTTACTTCGGTATTGTTCATAAATTAATTTGGAGCTTATGAAAAACAGTATGGTTTTACCTAAAAATAATGTGATGCTTTGAAACATATAAATTTCTGGTAATAACAACTTAATTTTTTTTTCCAAAATAATAATAGAACAGCTAATTGAATTAAGAGAGATTCTAGATGTTAATTTGTGGACAGTATTGAGGGCAGTTGTGGAAATGGCTGAAAAACGAATATTGTTTCTACATGCTTCGTGATGCCATATTCATTTTGATAAGAAAAGTTTTTATTGTCATTGTTTTTTTTTAAATAAACCGTTATATTTTATAATTATTTGTTGTTTAATTTCATTATTTATTGTTTACAATATTGGAGTGAATTACGTGGTTCAATGTGATCACGACTTAGCCGCTGTTGAGTGGTTATCGAAGTCTATAGATAACACAACATGAATGCAGATAACCACCGCAATCTCAACACGAAATTGAAGTCTGTATTGAATAACGACTATCTCATATTATAAACCAGAATGCGAAACTGCTGCGCGATTAAAATAGGATCTAGCTGCAAAGGCTTAATTTTTTTATTATTGTTGAATTAGGTGGACGAGCTTACGACCCACCTAATGTTACGTGGTTACCGGAGCCCATAGACATTTACAACGTAAATTCCCCCACCTACCTTGAGATAGCAGTTCTATGGTATTTTTATAGTACAGCAACGAGTGTCCCAACCTTCAAACTGACACGCATTACTGCTTCACGGCAAAAGCAGGCAAGGCGGTGGTACCTACTCGTGCGGACTTACAATACGTCCAACCACCAGTAAAATCATTTTAAATTAAATATTCTTACCAACAGCGTCCCGGGCGCCATTAAGCAGGCCGAATGCAGGCAGCATTGGAGGAAGCTGGTGCAAAAACTGGACCAAGGTGGTCACGACCCTCAGTAATGTGGAAACGACAAAGAAGAAGAACCATCAGTAAATGCCGGTTGGCAATTGCAGTACACACAGAAATCTCTGCTGTCCATTGTACGGTCCCTTAGGTGCCCCTTAGGGTAGAAGGTAGTAGTAGCAGTAGCTATAGAGGTAGGAGTAGCATCCCAAATCCCTCCCTTGGCAATTTGTATAAGAGCATCCGGTCACCGTCCTCGTCGAACCCGTCGCTTGCGTTGAAGGGCTCGTCTGACCTCTATGACTGCTTTAAATGGAGCATCAAAAGGGAACTCCCTAAAATCATAAAAATCTACCTATGTTATTGGTTATTGTCCAGTTATATCGTGTGCGTTTTAAACCATATTGGAAAATGATCACTCTAATAACAGTGATAACAAGTAATCCTTACTCTCACAGACTAACTCAAATGAAAGCTCTTATTCTAAGGATACGAAGGGTTTGGTCTATTTCCATTGTAACGAAATCTTATGAATCGATTTGAATGTGTTCTCAAAAATTTTTTTTACTTGGCTCCTCAGTACATAGATACAAAATCTTAACATAATCATCACTTCCACTTTCTCGGGATTTTCAATCTAATGTGCGAATACTTATGCCACTCCAGGAAGTCTTTGAATCTCCCTCTAACGCCTGATAGAAGACAATTATCTATCTGTTGATTTTCCAACGGTTTTCTGGACACACATTCAAATACACTTTACCATTAGACAACGCAAAAACTGAGACCTATTTATTTGGTACTAGCTGACCCAGCAGACTTCGTAGTGCCTCAATCGATAAATAAAAGACCTAAAAATTTGTATAAAATAAACTTAAAACAAACAAAAGGAATCCGTCCGACGGAAGACACATCAAAGGAAAAACAAAATTGCTATTTTTATTCAATTCCGAGCATTTTCATTAGTATTTACCTTTTAAACCTTCTCTGGACTTCCACAAATAAATCAAGACCAAAATTAGCCAAATCGGTCCAGCCGTTCTCGAGCTTTAGCGAGACTAACGAACAGCAATTCATTTTTATATAATATATAGATTATGATAAAAACAAATTCCGGAAGTAAGTCACCAACTCACCCTATTCGCAAAGTTTACAGGCAACCGCGCAATTACAAACATAAACATAACAGTAAAATTAAATGAACACATAACAGAAAGAGTTGAATGTAATATTTGCTATTATTCCCATGCATTGTTCCCTGGTGCCTCGATATAAAAGCACGGAAGCGCCTCTTAATATTGTATGCGTAAAGAGAAACATCCGGAGATAGAGGTGTACTGAAGATGTACTCTAGGGAGACAACATTTATGAAGTGATGAATGAGTAGCAGGTTTTCGAAACCCGGGTCATTTTAGGCACTCGCAATTGTCCGATTACTCGTGAGGCGCATAATATCTGCCCACAGCAATGATACTGAATGACGAACCACGACTGCTCTGACAAGATTGATACGACCATGAAAAAAAATGGCGCGACTTGGTTAGTATGATAGGTTAATAATTTTTTACTTTTATTGCTTAGATGGGTGGTCGGGCTGACAGCCCACCTGGTGTTAAGTGGTTACTGGAGCCCATAGACATCTACAACGTAAATGCGTCACCCACCTTGAGATATGAGTTCTAAAGTCTCAAGTATAGTTACAACGGCTGCCCCACCCTTCAAACCGAAACGCATTACTGCTTTACGGCAGAAATAGGCAGGGTGGTGGTACCTACCCGCGCGGACACTCAAGAGGTCCTACCACGAGTAAATATTTAATATGTAATGTTTAATTGTAGAAGAACAAGTCAGGTCTTTAGTTTATGGACTCTGATAACCACGTAAAACCAGATGGATCGTGAGCTCATCTTCACTTCAAAAGCAAACGCGCGTAGCACTATCTGGCTAGTTTCACAAAGCAATGACGGTTCACCTTGTGTTGTCTATATTGTACGGTAATTGTTTAACGCTAGCTGGACGGTTAACCAGTCTACATTATATACTTATACATATGCCAATAAAAACCGCTACAAAATATTGGTAATAAATTCGGCGAAGCATATTTTTCTGAAGTCGTAATTAGATCATAAAATGCGCAAATAAAAAATGTCTGTTGGAATCGGAAACTCATCCTCCCTTTTGATTTGATTGTACCATAAAAACAGTAAGCAATCATAACTTAAAAGCTATTTTTATCATACAACGTACCCTTTGCTTTCGAAATAATGCGTCAATTATGGCCTCCATCATACGTGACTATTTTTACCGAATAAAAAAGATACTAACCCACCAGCCTATGGAAATCAAGCTATCTTAATAAAACGTCATTTATAAAATCAAAATATTATATAATTACAAAAACGTACCAATAATCTACCTGTATAATGACTATCAGAAAACCATAGGGTTTCTGTTTAAGTTTTATCTTACCCAAGTTTCTTTGTTGCCTCCCATCGTGGATGGGCATATTCCTTCTTGCGATAATCCTCAATGCTGAGGCTCGTAGCCTCTTGAGGATTTCTTGGGAAAATACACATGGTGGGGCCCCGCATCCTCCCACGGCAGTGCTTTTGGAAGAGATTTAGTTCTTCGAGGCCGCTGAAGCCAAAAACAAAATCGATTCGATCCCTATAGATTCACGCTATCACATTCACTGGCCGTTCGACCAGCTACACAATCCTTGTTTCATTAGTAAATCGATTTTATAGTCGCATGCCTAAATTGCCAATCTTGTCCGTAGCTCCTTTGACATAAGCCAAGTTCCTGTGTCACTGGTTTTGATTCGAGAAATTAGATTGCACGAGATGCTAATACTGAAAAATACATGTATATCGTCGAAGTCTGTCGTGGCCTTGTTGTATTGGTAGCAAACAATGCGACTATCCACGAGTAGGTACCAATCTTTCCTTCGGCACGCACTGTGCAGTACCGTGGGTTTCGTGGAGTCGGAGTGGTGGGGCTCGATGGGGTTTAGTCGGTAGTCGGTTTTGCGTGGTAGCTCTTGCGTGGCTGACGCCGTGCAGTGCCTCGCATGCAGGAATTGGGGAAAAAGAAGGACCCCTGTCTTCTTCTTCTCCCTGTTCTTCTCTGGAGGCGCCGGAGTCCGACATAACCCGGTCTCTTACCCCCCTCGACCGGGTATCCGTAAATGGATTCCCCAGCGTTAAAAAAAAAAAAAACGTACCAATCTTTCCAAGGAAATATGAACCCGACTCCGTATGTGTTCCTGAATGACCTCCCCAACCAAAAACACCGTGCAATAAAAATCAAACCCAAATAACGTATAATTTGCGCAATTACCGATAGCAGGGTGTATTTTAGGCCCACACTCTGGTTACTAACACTCTTTCTATTTCTACCGTGATGCAGTAATGCGTTTCGGTTTGAACGGTTTTTTTCCCTACCTATTCGTTGGTAGCCTAGGAGGCTATTTCAGCTACGGCTGGACGGGTAGGTGAGCTCACGGACTCGACGTGAGAGAATTTGCTAGCACTGACCCTAGCAAGAGCAGCGCTTCGCAGAACCGGATCGAAATGGCGACCCACTGAGAAGATCCGGCGAAAAACTCAGTGGGCTCTGTCTATGGGTCAGTTTACTCGTCGAACTCTTCGTCATAATTGACGAGTTCGACGAGGAGGGCGACCGATGCTTTAGGGTCTGAAAGCATCGAGTGTTGATCCGAGGGATCCGACAAGACCTGTGTCGGGAAATGGCGTCTTTGCATTGCCCCGTCGCGGCCAGACAGTACTGAACGGTAAAACAGCCTTACTGCAATATAGGAATGATGCAAAATTCGAGTCTCAATTGGAAACAGGTCTGAATATATCAGAATACTTGAAAATACGGCAATGGGTAGAGCTCGTGTTTTAATGTCGCAAATAAACCGCATTATTTACATGACATG